AGCAGGAATCTCTCCTCTCCACTTCCTGTTGCTGCTCTGTGACGAATGCCTGTGAATCCTTCCAGGAGCTGTCGTATTGTTGAATTTTCAAGATTTAAAAAGATACAAAAAACCTTTTAAAAAAATCCCACAAATTTAAAACGCAAAATGTGGAGGGAGAGAGTAGCAACAGATTTTTTTTTTCTTGGTAATCAATCTCTTTTAAAACTTTTTTAGAATTCAATCTCTTTTAAAACTTTTTTAGAATTATGTCCAATTTTTTACTGTGGGTCAGCTGTTGATTTTTTATTAAGACAACAGTTTCAGGTGACTAAAGAGGAACCGGTTCACGCCCTTGAAACAAAGCCCCAGACCAAGCCCCAGAGCATCCTTCAGCCGGTCCCAGCGACGTCTCACACAAGCTCTGTAACTGTGCTAAGCTGTAGGCACCTTTTTCATTTGGAAAGGGCGCCCACCCAACCTGAATCCTCCCCCCGCGGGGGCAGGGGCTTCCAACCACCTCCTCCCCAGGGGCTCCCATGCCCCTAAAGTCTCCCTACAGCGACCCCTCTGTGGTTATACCCACTCCCCAGCACAAGTGCTTTAACACAACTTTAATAAACTGGAATTACTAAGAAATGAGTTCCCCCCGACCCCACGAAAAAAAAAGGTTTTGTGTTTTACATGCTGCACATGGATCCGTGGTCTGCTGGGAAGGGATTTCTGTGTATGGGGTGAGGTGGGCACCCACCTGGCCTAGTGCCGCGACCGGAAGGCCTCCTTCCTGCAGGGCCCCCTGTCCTCACCATGCGGGTGGCCTCCCAGCACAAGGGATTCTGCTTCTGGGCTCAGTTCTGTCTGTCAGATCGTCCTGCAAGCACACGCTGCCTTAATTACTCCTTTTAGGTGTTTTTAAGTTTTTTAAAGTTTTTCTCAATAGTGCTTTGTGCAGAGGTCTTGTTCATCTTTTGTTAAATATTTTACAGTTTTTCAAAACTAATGTAATGATATTATTAAAATTTCGTTTTCTATTTTTTCCTGCACGCATATAAATATATATATTTGTGTGTATATATATATTTATATATATATATAAATGTATAAATAAATATATAAATAAATACACACACACACACACACACACACACACACACACACACACACACACACACACACACACACACACACACACACACACACAAACACACACACACACACACACACACACACACACACACACACACACACACACACACACATAAATATAACTGACCTTTGTTTTTCAGCCCTGTAACCGGGGGCCTTGCTGATCCATTACTGGTTCTAAGGGGCTCACCTCTTGTGCCCAGGCCTTCGTGGTACACAATCGAGGTGTCCGAGTAGCGTCGGCCTGGGTGGCCTTTGGGTCCCCGAGCCTTTCTCTCTTCTTTTCGCCTCATGTGTCTGGACTAGATGGACGTGGGGTGAGGCGGCGGGGCCTTCGCACCTGCGCACGTGCTGCGTGTTTGTCCCTCTGGTCCCTTCTGCGGCGAGTCAGGAGCAGGGCTCGCTCTTCGCCCAGGACCCCCAGGGCATCCTGTCCGAGAGCCATGATGCCTGGTTGCCTAAGCGCTTGTGCCCCGTCTCGCCCGCAAGTCCTGGTTGGCAGCGAGGGCAGCAGAGAGCTCTGGGCAGGTGGAGGGAGTCCTCTTACCCTCGGCAGCCGGGCAGGAGGAAGTGGCCCAAGCCCCCACCTCCGTGCTGTCCACAGGTGAACCCCGACACCGGCTGCATCAACTACGACCAGCTGGAGGAGAATGCCCGCCTCTTCCACCCGAAGCTCATCATCGCGGGTGAGCAGCCCGGCGGGGCCCCGCCGCTCACAAGCAAGCTTGTGTGATGTTCCCACCCTGTCCTCATTCCCTGCTGGTTTCTGCCGCGCCGCTGAGCTGCTTGGGTCTATTTCCTTTTCTGTCAGGACCGTTAGTCCTGCACTGTTCCCCAGAAGCATCTGGACATGTTGGCCCCTGCCTCGTTGGGCTGCTAATGGCCAGGGGCCGCCCCAGCCACGCAACCCAGGGGCAAAGAGCAGGGGGTCGCCTTTGGCACAGGCGGGATTTGCAGGCGTCCATCGTTTCCATCCTCAGGCCTTAGAGCGGGGAAGGCCGGCTTTTGGACACCGTGCCCAACCGAGGCGGCTCTGCTCTCGAGCTGACTCAGTGTCACCCTTGCTGTCTCAGGGACCAGCTGCTACTCCCGGAACCTGGACTACGCCCGGCTGCGTGAGATCGCTGACGACAACGGGGCGTATCTCATGGCCGACATGGCACACATCAGCGGGCTAGTGGCAGCCGGTGTGGTGCCCTCCCCCTTCGAGCACTGCCACGTGGTGACCACCACCACCCACAAGACCCTGCGGGGCTGCCGCGCCGGCATGATCTTCTATAGGAAGGGTGCGCTCCTGGCGGGGCGGGGCTGCCTTTCCTCCTGGAGCCCACAGTCGGTTTAGGGAGCCGGGAAGACTGACCCAGATGATGTAAAGAGCAGGAAGCCCTGAGCACAGCTGTCCGGGTCCGGGGGAAGGGGGAAGGGGAAGGGTGTCCTGGGGGCCAGCGTCCTGTGGCTCAACTTATCCCGTTGAGTGGAAGATGTTGGGGTGACAGGAGGGTGTGCATGGCTGGAGGGGCTCCAGGAGACCTCGTGGTGCAGCGTTATTTTGGTGAACTTAACTGTAGCATGTTTCTCCCAGAGAAAGATTCAGTAATCAGACCATAAGACACTGATGTGTAAACCGTAGTAGGAGTTTGTCGTTTGAGTGAGGAATTTCTCCTCCCCATAATGGAGCCTACGTGTATGTGTCCCCTTATTTGGGATTCCCATTCTTGAGAAGCAGGATTAGGGTCCCATAGTCTTCAGTCCCGGTGCACTAACCTCACGTCAGCAGAGAGAACCCCCCTCTGGTGACCGCATCTCTTTTTACCCCCTGCGGGACCCCCTTGCCCAGCCTCTGGCCAAAACTGGATACACCATGTGCCCACTGGGCTTCTCAGGGCCCTGCTGCCTCTGTGCCCCTCAGAGGCCCCTCCTCCGTTGTGTTCAGGTTTCTGAGGCAGGCGGCCTTTCCCACCTGCTGAGGAGACATTTGTTTTCCCCACTGTACGTTGGTGATATTCGATTGACCCTCCAGGAGGAGCAAGTCCTGGCTCTGCCATGGATGTGCTGTGTGATCTTCGGCTAGTTGTGCAGCCTTTCTGTGCCTCAGTTCCTCACCTCCAGAGCAGGGATCATAATAATAGTACCTGTCCCTGGGGACTGCTGTTGTGAGGCTCGAATGAATTTAGCGAAACTGCTCAGAGCAGTTCCTGGCTCACAAGAAGCTCCATGGAGACACTGGCAGCTCGTATTACTGGCCCTTAACTTTTCTCCGAAAGGAAGCTGCTTCTCTGTTTCTGGCCAAATGAGTCATGTCTCCCCCAAAGGAGTCATCTTGGAAGACTGCTCTCTTGGACAGTTCTTTGAGGAAATATGCCCGAGGTGTATTCTTTGTTACTATCTCAGTGGAGGGACATTTTCATCCTTCCTTTCACTTTTTTTTTTTTTTTTTTTCTGCATTGGGTCTTCGTTGCTGCACGCGGGTTTTCTCTAGTTACGGTGCATGGGCTTCTCATTGCTGCCAAGTATGGGCTCTAGGCATGTGGGCTCAGTAGTTATGGCTTGCAGGCTTTAGAGTGCAGGCTAAGTAGTTGTGGCACATGAGCTTAGTTGCTCCGTGGCATGTGGGATCTTCCCGGACCAGGGCTCGAACCCGTGTCCCCTGCACTGGCAGGCAGATTCTTAACCACTGCACCACCAGGGAAGCCCCTTCCTTTGCTTTTCCTTTTTTTTTTTTTTTTTTTGGCTGCATTGGGTCTTCGTTGCTGCACGCGGGTTTTCTCTAGTTACGGTGCATGGGCTTCTCATTGCTGCCAAGTATGGGCTCTAGGCATGTGGGCTCAGTAGTTATGGCTTGCAGGCTTTAGAGTGCAGGCTAAGTAGTTGTGGCACATGAGCTTAGTTGCTCCGTGGCATGTGGGATCTTCCCGGACCAGGGCTCGAACCCGTGTCCCCTGCACTGGCAGGCAGATTCTTAACCACTGCACCACCAGGGAAGCCCCTTCCTTTGACCTTTGAAGGGTCAAAGGAAGGGTGGTTCCCCCACCCAGCCCCGCTGGGAACAAGCACCCTCCCTGGCCTGCAGCATCGCCTCCAGGAGTGGGGCCGGGTCTGTGTCTAGGTGGGGAGAAAACAGAGGGGATCGCCTGTCCCATGTCCCGTGTTGTTTTTTGTCCAGGAGTGCGCAGCGTGGACCCGAAGACGGGCAGAGAGACTCGCTACAACCTGGAGTCACTCATCAACTCTGCCGTGTTCCCAGGCCTGCAGGGGGGGCCGCACAACCACGCCATTGCTGGTAATGCAGACCCACCTGCCCAGGCCCCACGGCCACACGCCTCAGGCGGCTCCCCCAAGGCCCGTCCCCCAGAGCGTGTGCACTGTCTAAGAGGTGCTGACGAAGCAGGGAAGGGGAGCAGTGCATATGTCAGCAGGAACAGAGGTGACGGCCACTCCACTGAGTCGGGCAGGCCCCACCTGAGCCCCTGAGAAACCACGGGGAGGGGACCTGACATCGGAAGACTGTACAGCCGAAGGAGCACGTGAGCAGGCGGGCGGCCCTCCCCTGGTCTCCTGGCCTCCAGGGGAGAGGACAGCGACCCCCTTGTCTGACCCTCGGCCTTGACTTTGGGGCCACGCTGGTACCTCCTAGGTCCTATTCCATGATGGCCCAGCAGCTGTCATAGACATACTCCTTCTCTGGTTGTACCCGAGCCTTAGAAAATCTGATGACCTCAGAGCTTTTACTCCGTCTTTGGAGCAGAGCAGCTGGTGGAGGAGCCAGGACAAAGGTGTCCCGTCCCCACTGGGAGACCGTCAGGAGTACTGGTGTCTGCAAGAAGGGGTGTGGAGGGGGCAGTGAAGGGGGAGTTTTAGGCTCCAGAGTGGGCATGGGCCGCTCCCCTTACACCCACCCGCTCAGCGCCCTCCAGTGGGGGGATGCCAGCCCTCCAGACTCTCCAGGCCGTTCTCCACACACGGACTGGGGGCTCCTGTGCCAGGACGTGGGCACGTGGTTTGCATCCTCCTCCATCTCTGTGCCCCTTTAAGCAGCCCTGGGGATCGAACAAGGTCCCAGAGGAGTCTGGGTGTGCAGGTAGATCAGGCCTGTACCTCTCATCTGGACTGTGCTCCGAAAGGTGCATAATTTGGCATCAAAGCATCAGCAGCTAAGTGATCCGTTTACACACGTCGAGCTTAAAAAGGACATAAAATCCATCTTGCTGGGAACAGCTCTCCCCTGGTGATTTCCTTAGCCCGAAACTTCATGCTGGAGAGAGGCCGCCTCAAAAGCACTTGTTCAGAGAGAGAGGTCTGAGGCTTAGCCGGGTAATCGCAGGGTTAAAAGGGATCATTTTGGGAGGAGATGTAACCCACCGCCCTGGGTGACACTGAGAAGCTGGGAAGCCCGAGTGGAGACGGGTGTTTGACTCACGGTCTGTATTCATCTCCTGCCAGGGGTGGCGGTGGCTCTGAAGCAGGCCATGACTCCGGAGTTCAGAGTCTACCAGCGCCAGGTGCTGGCCAACTGCAGGGCTCTGGCCGAGGCCTTGATGGGGCTGGGCTACAAAGTGGTCACAGGTACGACAGGAACCGAGCCCTGAGGGCAGCCTTGCTCCTCGGGGCTGCTCGAGTCTCGTCCTGGCCCTGTCAGGGTGTGGCTGTAGGGTCGTGGCCTGGGCACAGTGGCCACAGCCTTGGGGTGACTCGGGATCCCCTCAGCTCTGTATACACGACCTCGTTCAAACCTCGAGATAGCTTTGGGAATCACTGGTCTTATTTTACAAATGGGCACCCGAGGTTCCGAAAGCCACGCGGCAAGCAAGGGGGCTGTGGGTCCAGAGCCGTGCATCCGCTTAAGGCCACATGCGTCTTTGAAGCCGTGGTCATCGCCCGAGTTAGCGATGGGGGTCTAGTTAACCCGGGGATTAACTACAGTTCAAAGTGAAGATCAGGTGCTGGGAAGATTCCCTGGGCCGTTCCAGAAAGTTCATCCATATCTCTTCTGCACCACTTTGAAAATACTATCATCCTCGCAGGACTGGGGTTAAAGCACACAGTGGGCTGGCAGTGTCTGCACCTGATGTGCCCGTCACCCTGTCACCTAGATAGCCCACTGCCCGCTACTCTGAGGCCCCCTTAGAGGGAGCCTTGAGGGTGGACTTAGAAGGGGCACATTCCGAGATGACGTCATCACCCCAACAGGCTTCGAGGCGCTGCCCCGGCACCTGACAGGTTGGGACGTGGCAGTGGGCCATCTGGGCTGCCCGTTTGCCCTCAGCCCCCTCTGCATCCTCAGGTTCCCTTTTTAAACTACTCTGTGCTGCTCTCAAACTCTGAGGCCCTGGGGTATGTGGTCTTTAGCAGGTGATGAAAGCCCCGCAGGACACGTGATGGGGGTCACACACCCCCATTTCTGTGGAAGAGAAAGACCCCTTGGCTCGGCACGGGGTCGGCTTCCACGTGTCTAACCTGGTTTCCAGGTGGTTCTGACAACCACTTGATCCTCGTGGACCTCCGCTCCAAAGGCACAGACGGCGGCCGGGCTGAGAAGGTGCTGGAAGCCTGTTCCATCGCCTGCAACAAGAACACCTGCCCAGGTGAGCGTTCTCAGCCCTCTCCTGTCTGCACCTGTCAAGGCCGACGGTGACTTGGCTCTGGGGACGAGATGTGCAGCGTTGGACGGGGCCAGGCCGTGCTCCCCTGCCTGCCCCCTCTAACGCGGCGCTGACCCTGCTGGGGACGGAGAGGGAGAGGGAGGCTGGGGCCTCTGGAAAACCGGCTGCATTTCTCAGCGGGTCGTGAATAAGATGTGGGCGACGCCCCCGAAACCCAGACAGATGCTGCCCTGGTGTCAGGAGCAAGGACCACGTCGCAAAAGGCGGCTCTCCTGATATTTCAAGTAGCGCAGCCGAGGTGTGAGCCAGCGTCCGTGGGCCTATTCCTTTTGCCCACGAGCCCCTTCCCAGTGCCCGATGGTCAGTGGGGAGACGGGCGCAGCCCAGGGACAGAGCCTGTTTCTCTTGAAGGTGACAAAAGCGCCCTGCGGCCCAGCGGACTGCGCCTGGGGACCCCGGCGCTGACGTCCCGAGGACTCTTGGAAGAGGATTTCCAAAAAGTTGCCCGTTTTATTCACAGAGGTGAGGAGAGGCACGGACAGGGGCCACGCAGGGCTGTGCGGTCGGGACGAAGGACGGCTCTGCGTCGAGGCTGGAGCAGGGCCGGGAGACAGAGCGTCGCCCAGCAGGCCGCGTGGGCTGAGAGGGTGGCGGGCGTGTGGACGGCAGAGCAGTCGGGCCCGGCCGCCGGGGGCACGTGGGCAGTGGCGTCTCTCGCTGGCGCAGGGATAGAGCTGACCCTGCAGATCCAGGACACCGTGGGGGTGAAGGCCACCCTGAAGGAGTTCACGGAGAAGCTGGCGGAGGCCGAGGATCACCAGCGGGCTGTGGCGGCACTCAGGGCGGAGGTGGAGAGCTTCGCCGCCCTCTTCCCTCTGCCCGGCCTGCCCGACTTCTAGAGGAGTGCCCGCCCGCACAGGGACCCAGCGCCCTGGAGGCCCCACACAGGCCCCGTTTCGGACTTTGCTTTTTTTACCTTGTTCACAAACCAACGTTTGTTTAAGGCTCAGTGTTAGTCATCCTGGGACAAGTTATTAAGGAGTTTAAATCTGAACCTCACTTTCTCACAGCTACGTACAGTTGTTCTGGAAAAATGAAATACAATTTAGCCATTCAGCCTTCATTATCCAGACTGGTGGAGGGCAGGGTTACTGGGAAGACTCCACTCTTAAGAGTCCCTGGGCTTCCCTGACTTGCTGCGGCAGCCAGAAGCACCGAAGCTCGAGCTTGGCAGAGCTGCCCGTTGCTATCTGTTCCCCCGTGGGCACCAGAGGAGGACTCAGTTATAACCATCGCAAACGAGGAGGGAGCGTCCTGGCCCTTCTGCTGTGCTTTCAATCAGAATCACAAGTTAGACGGATCTATTAGGTGCCACCCAGCTCCGTGGGAGTGCCGCTTACAGCACCTGGGCAGGAGGGGGATGTGGTCCCCTTCCCCCAGCCCAAGGGCAGGCAGGCCAGGAAACCTGGTCCCAAGCCGCTGAGCAGACAACCACCTCCCTCCCATGATCAGGAAACCGAAGGTCACCTTCCCACAGAAACTTTATTTTTCACAAATCTCAAGTGCAAAACATAGATGACCATTTATAATAAGCACAGATTTTTAACCACAGAATGTCTACAAGAATTATAGCTTTAAAAAATACAACCAATTTTTATATCTCAAAAATATCTCAACTCAAATAAATTAATTTCTTAAAAAGTACACCTCATACTATTCGTTTGGCATGACTGGTTGAACTCTGGTGCAGCCACACCGGGAGCTGCAGGCACGCGTGTGGCTTGTGCAGCGTACTCTCGCCCTGGCCGCAGTGACCACGGCTCACCCGGTGGGACTCACGCTCACACACAAGGAGCATGCAGTAATAATACAGCTTTTCAAAAAACGACAAATACGACGTCCTCGCGCACTACGCTTCTCACCGTGGTCTTAACACAGCTGCAGTTGACGCCCCGGGGCTCCAGCGCAGGGGGCAGGGCGGCTGCCACCTCCACAGCTGTGGAAACAGCCTTACACCCAGGAGCTTGACTCTCCCCCCGCCACCCCCCGCAGGGAGACAAAGGCCACCACACAAGCACTCCAGGGAGGCTAGGCCCCAGACCGGCACTTGGTTCATGGCCAAGTGCTCCCTCCTCCCCACAGCTGAAACCAAACCTCAAAGTGGGACGGGCTCAGAAGAGCTGGGTGTGCTCCAGCCTGAGCTGAGGCTAGGCTGGTTTTCCTTCCAGCCAGAAGTAGAGATTTGATACTTTTCCTTTTTGCAATGTTAATACCATCTCACTCTCAAAAATTCCAGTTGTATCAGTTTCTATCACAAGACTGGGAAAAAGCCAGAAAGCTAGCTGGTTTGCTTCAAAGCACGAGCCAAGGCACTTTCTTGAGCCTCTAGGGAGATGGGAGGTAAGAGCTGATGCTGGCTTGGGGGGCTGGTGCCTCCGAAGGCTGTCCACATGGACTGATGGACTGCACCAGCCCAGGAGGGCTCCTGCCTGTGCAAAAATGACGTGGGCCATGTGGAGAAGCTGACCAGCCAGGCGCCATCAGGCTGCGGGGGGGTGGGGGTGGGGGGTGTACACGCCCAGCACTGGTGGAGTGGGTGGTGAGCTGCGTGTGAGATCTTCCAGGCCGCTGGGCCTCCGGGGACATGTCACAAGCTGCAGCAGCCCTGGCACTCTGGGGAGAATCTATCGGCCATCCTGGGATTTTGACATGGGATTTGTTACTTCTTTGGGGATGAAGTCTGTGATACTTTGCACACAGTAACTGTAACTGATCTGAAGCAAGCTGGGCTATCAGAGCCTATTTCCAGATTCTACTAAAGCAGCAGCGTCCCCAGGGCCACAGGTGCTAGGAAAGGGTTCAGCTGATGTCTACCGTGGAGCTTCTGGAAATCACTACTGCATAAGTGCCAGCCTGGGCGGGTTCTTCTTAACTTGGACTGCTTTAAAAAGGCAGGGTGGGGGCTTCCCTGGTGGCGCAGCGGTTGGGAGTCCGCCTACCGATGCAGGGGACGCGGGTTCGTGCCCCGGTCCGGGAAGATCCCACGTGCCACGGAGCAGCTGGGCCCGTGAGCCATGGCCGCTGAGCCTGCGCGTCCGGAGCCTGTGCTCCGCAACGGGAGAGGCCACATCAGTGAGAGGCCCGCGTACTGCAAAAAAAAAAGAAAAAAAAAGGCAGGGTTGGGGGGCAGGTAATGGACTGGAAGCGAAGCTGAAACAAAGCTCAAGGTTCTGGTGCCTCTGGGCCTTCGAGGCAATACCTAGGATGGGAGAGGGACCAAGGGCACTGACACCCTCTGATTTTTGAAGGTTTCTCAGTATTTGGACGCTTGCCGACCTCCTACCAGGAGAAACCTCTTAAGATTCCCGACGAGATGAGTTCGTTGCACAGGCCCCCACCACTCAGACTCAGGTGCGTCTGAGACTCCTGGCAGGTTCCAGTCCCCAGCGTGGCGGGGCCGGGAGGGCCTGGTTCCCCTTTGAGCTCCCTTTGAAGAGAAACATACTTGGCATCAAGCATTCTGTGAAACTGCCACACTGCAAAGTTGGATTTTAACCAAAATGTAAATGCTGGAGTTCAGCCACTAGTCAGCGAATACAGCTCTATTCCTCAATGAAGAAACAGCTCAGGAGAGGGGCTCCGGGTGCCCTCTCTGCAGCGCCCCACGGCCAGGCCTTCTCGCACCGGCAGGGCTCGCCCGAGGCGGAGCTTCTGCACAAACACCCTCCAGAGTGGACTTTCGCTTCTAGGAGGCCAGTGTGACTGACCTGCTGCCCTTTCTGGCTTCCCAGGTGCGAGGTGTGAACCGCAGAGGCCATGTTGGTGGCCCGGGAACGAAACGGGTGGGCCCGTGATCGCTTCCCATCTGGTCATTTGGGCCCCACGGACCGCTCTT